ATAAGTTTGCTAAAGTTTCGGCCATCATCAATGCATACAACGCACTGAACTGATGCTGGCGCAATGTCAGAGTTAGAGGAGGTAATTAATTAAAGCTATGCTTCAGCATGTAAAACGGACCGACGCTATCCTCTGTGCAGCCCCTTTCTGCTTCGCAGAAATATTCCGTGATTATTTAAAAAATTTAGACCTGTCTCTCAGCTAATCGATCATGGTGATACTGTTTCCATTCGGTCGGCGTGACACTGTCTTGAGCGAAACTACCCAAACTAGAGTGCAACATTTAATGACGTAACTGCATTTATATCAGTAAAACCCTCAGGATTCGAAACATGTGAATTAAAGAAAATTAGAGCCACTTTGAGTCACCATCTGGAGAAGTAATTTTGGACATAATTAATTTACATGCAACGAGGGTTATCGAACTTTTTACATAATGTGGATCTCGGTGTGGGTTCCGTGGAATAAAACATCATCTTAGCATTCTATAAAAATCTGCAGATTTTATCCGATATACCTCGTTTAAAAAAATTAAAGTGAACATCGAGACAATGGTGATCCCGTTAATTATGAAGCAGAATCAGTCAAACGCTGTCGTTTCGAACGTCAGCGCATTGCAGATAATCGCCTTATGCGAAAAGATGGACCAACTAAAACCGCCAAAAGGAGATGACCATTTAGCTATCAAATAGTCATTAATCTCTCAGGCACAATGATCAGCAAAAGTTTCGATAAGGAAGAAGCAATACAAGGCATCTGCAAAAAATGCAGTAACAACAATGAACGCAGTAACTGACACGGAACTGCCTAGCAAACTGCCGCCAGTTGCACAGTTCTGCTGTCCGGATCATGCATAACCGGCAAGAACCAAAGCAGTCTTCACACCAGGCCGCAGTTCGATGGAGTGCAATTTTCTCAGCTGCAACGATAATCGTTAACGCCCGCCAAGGACGCTGAAATGATTAGCCAATAAAAATTAGCAACTGGTGATAACAAGACTAAAAATGTTTTTGGTCAATCTGTCCGCAAAAATGACTAAAAGATTATGGCACTGTGAGCTTAAAACCATGAGTAGAGGGCATCATGCAAGATTCTCATCACTGAGCCTACTTTTTGAACACACTTACAGTAACGCAATTGTCGTACGCGTCCCTCATAACCTCGTATTCTACTTCTTTCCATCCCACCAGACTTTTATCGATCAGAATCTGGCATGAAGAGGACAGCGCCAGTGCCGCGAGGCGTTCGAGTTCAACACTGTTCTGAGCGAAACCAGAGTTAAGACCGCCAAGCGAAAACGCTGATCGGACCAGAACCGGGTAACCAAGAGACTCAGCCATGTTCAGCGCCTAAAGCAAGCAATAACAAAGTTAATTACTAAAAACTAGGGACAGTAGAATAGCAACAGTATAACAGATTTTAATGCTTCAAAAACGGATATTATCAAAGCTTTAGACTCGTCGTTGAGACCGGCCTTTTGCAAACAAGTCGAAACATCTCAGTTCGGGTTTTGCAAGACTGTACACTCGAAACGAGACGACTAACAGTTACGTAAGAACTTCAGACGTAGGATCCTCTGTCAGATGATGGGATTCACTTTAATGTCGTTACATTCTACTTGTTGATTCCTATTGTCCAGAAGGAAGTTCCACGTACGTTTCATTGTTCACCTTCCGTACTAATATTTATTTCTGATCATTCCCTTTTAAACTTCCTAACGTTTCTACCATTCAGGAAACACAGTAGAGTGTCCTTTGCTTATTCATATGCACAAATTAACCAATCACCCAACCAATTTGCTTTGATGCATAGCGTAAAGGAAAAACGTCAACGAAACATGACAAAAACATATGAAACTGGCAAACATTTATGTAATTTCAGACCGAATGCATTCGCCATGGATTAATTAACAGAACGTGGTGAGCTCGATCCTTTTCAAATTTTCATTAACAGATAGTTCAAGCGACAACGATGGAACGACTAAAGAGTGTCGACCTTCGACAGGTCTTAAAATAATGACAGCAAAGAACAGGGAAAACAAGCAGCATTCCACTAGTCAACACTGCATTGCAGCATCGCTTCTCGATCTTAGATGTGTAGGCAAGATCTGACTTTGAAATAAATTAAAGTACTCGCAAATCATCAAAAATTACGGTTTTGTTTTCGGCTCAGTGCGACTATTCTGTTACCCTCTCATATAAATCACAATATGAATTCTCAAACTATTTCATGAGTAGGATTACGGAATTACGTTGACGAAATTATATTAGCGTGCGTATAATTAGAGAAAACGATTATGTAATAAATACAGCACAATTTATCTTAACTAAATTCAATACCCAAGGTGAAGAGTAATTTCCCAATAGCCAACTCCCTTAAAATACTAGAATACGTAAATATTAAAAAATTCGTATTTCGAAGAACAAGAAACTTAGTGCCCTTTACAGCCAAGGAACCACTCAGTTCTGTCCTGGTCTGACATGAAAATTTCAACTTCGTTGTTCTGAGGAATCCCAAAATGTCGTATATTAAACTAAGTTTTTCAATGCCAATTACGAAGATGGAATAGCGGCCATGTTGAAAGGCAGCCCAAAACAGTTTAATTATAACGAAAAGAAATAAACTACTGACGACATGCCACCATTTGAGAGCACAGACAGATATTTCTAAATTATACCGATTCAAATTCGCTATCACAGGAATGAGCAATGGGTGGTAACTGTCAAAGCAGTCGTCACAGTGAAATCACGAAAAACTTAACTATAACTCTTTGAAGTTCATGCCTAACAAGAGCTTGATGATACGCTCAGCAAGAACTATTAAACGATATAGCATCAAAAAGTGAATACAATTAGATATCTGAACTAAACAGATCCAAAATGGCGGCCATGGTCCGCATTGAACCCACCGTGCCAAAATAATTGTACCAAACCTTCCATTCCAGTGAAATATAAAGTGTCGCAGAGGACAGAGTATAAAATCTTCAAGTGATGAAATTCTGTGTATATGGATGAGATGAAGGTTGCTGTCATTTTGCCACCGCCATCTAAGGCTAAAAGAATCTAAAGAGCAGATTAGCCCAATCTTTAGTCTGAACGTCAGAAATGATGCCGCGGTTTAATGTTAGGCAACGTGGACAACAACAGCGCAGTCGAAGAAGTGTGACACAAACGTTTTATGATCAAAAAAACGTGGCTGCCTGATAAGGAAACCGGATTCATTAAAAAACAGACACTCACTTAACCTACTCAATAAGAATGAGCGATAACCAGCAAGATCAGAAATTGTGAACAGTTTCGTTTGTGAAACATGATGCCATAAGTCGAAGTGCCATCAGCACTCATATTTACACCTACCTCACTGACTTCATGTGCTGCTCGGCATGGAACGACCGGTTGGTTAATTTCAATCAACTTTTTGGTGAATTCTTCCCGGTCTTCCGTCCATACAATGGTCTCGATCGGGGTCCCAAGAACCTTCACGTTGTACTTCTCGAATACGCCGGTATTGTTCAGATCGATTGCACAATTCAACGCCGTCTGGCCGCCGAACGTTACCAAGATGCCGGATGGCCTTTCTGACTTGATCACTTAAAAGAAAAAGAATAAGGGCAAACAATAGAAAACGGTATTCAGTAAACGCCCATATCTGTTCAACGTAGTGTGGAGTGATCGGCAAAAAATACGTGTAGTCGGCAAACCCTTTGGTAGTCTGGACGGTGGCAACGTTCGGATTAACTAGCACCGTCAATATTTTTTCTTCTTTCAGTGCCTTTATTGCCTAGAAAACAACTATTACTAACGCAATAAATCGAAAGCCTGGCATATATAACACATTATTAATGACAAAGTAGCGAAATTTGGAAAGATTTGATGAGGTTTATTCATTCATTCATTCATTTTTATTGCTTATGAACTTACTATAAATATACAGGTTACGTAACAGTCCACTTTAACTCTACGACAACATAGTAAACAGTGTGATATAAATGGAACTAACAACTGCCTGTGCAATTCCATTCAGATATATATGCGGACGAATTTTGTTCGTCCATTAATTCTCTTCGATTTACATCCTGACATCGATTCATTGAGCGGGTGGGAAGTGTTCTTTAAAGTAATTACCTCAAGTTTTACAGTGCCAGATATTACCTGATCAACGACTCCCTTCGCACATGTTTCGAAATTCATGTGGAAAATCCTGGAGCTACGAGTAGAGCACGGCGTATGAGAAGTAATTCACTTTACTCAGTGTTGGAAAATCTCCAGTCCAGCATACGTGATCAGTGGCAGAATATGAGCTTCCATAAATCTACGCACAACGTACAGTGCAACCCTTGAGACAGTAGCTCGCCTTGCAGACTTTCTTGAATACTACTGAGGCGTGGGCATGTCATTTTAAGTCTGAGAACTCCATGACGCC